ACGTAGACTTCGCCGTCGAAGCCGAGCGCGTCCCCGCCGTCGCGGCTCTCCGTCGGGCCGAGGTTCCGCGCCATCCCGTTCTTGTAGGTGTCGCCGCTGTATGCTCCGGTCGCATCCGTCGCATTGCCCTCATCGAAGGAGTAGTACGCGCGCAGCGTGCCCTCGAAGTAGTACGTCGACGGGGCGGGAGTCACCGTCGGGGACGCCGTCACCGACCCGTAGAGCACGGAGATGGCCTCCCGGTCCAGGGCGCTCGTGTAGACGTAGAGCTCGTCGATGGCGCCCGTCAGCTTGTTCGACTCGTACACGTCGGCGCCCACTCGAAGCCCGTACATGGTCTCCGTGTCGAGAGACGCCGGGGCGGTCGCCTCGGCGAGGCCGTCGAAGTAGAGGACGAGGTCCGTGCCGTCGTAGGTCAGGCAGTAGTGGTGCCAGTCGTCCCAGTCGATGTAGGACGTGTTGCCGTAGATCGTCACGACCGTCTGGTACGAACCGGACAGAGCGAGCGTCACGTTGCTTTCAGCGTCTCCAACGGCGAGCCCGAACGACGCTCCGTCGGCCGAGTCGCTCCCGTACTCGAAGAGAAAGCCGCCGTCCCAGTCGTCGATGCGCGCCCAGAGGCAGATCGTCCGCTCCTCGTCCCCGGTCAGGTCCCCGCTCGTCAGCGCGTCGGGCAGCTGGACGTAGATGCTCCCGTCGAAGCCGAGCGCGTCCCCGCCGTCGCGGCTCTCCGTCGGGCCGAGGTTCCGCGCCATCCCGTTCTTATAGGTGTCGCCGCTGTATGCTCCGGTCGCATCCGTCGCATTGCCCTCATCGAAGGAGTAGTACGCGCGCAGCGTGCCCTCGAAGTAGTACGTCGACGGGGCGGGAGTCACCGTCGGGGACGCCGTCACCGACCCGTAGAGCACGGAGATGGCCTCCCGGTCCAGGGCGCTCGTGTAGACGTAGAGCTCGTCGATGGCGCCCGTCAGCTTGTTCGACTCGTACACGTCGGCGCCCACTCGAAGCCCGTACATGGTCTCCGTGTCGAGAGACGCCGGGGCGGTCGCCTCGGCGAGGCCGTCGAAGTAGAGGACGAGGTCCGTGCCGTCGTAGGTCAGGCAGTAGTGGTGCCAGTCGTCCCAGTCGATGTAGGACGTGTTGCCGTAGATCGTCACGACCGTCTGGTACGAACCGGACAGAGCGAGCGTCACGTTGCTTTCAGCGTCTCCAACGGCGAGCCCGAACGACGCTCCGTCGGCCGAGTCGCTCCCGTACTCGAAGAGAAAGCCGCCGTCCCAGTCGTCGATGCGCGCCCAGAGGCAGATCGTCCGCTCCTCGTCCCCGGTCAGGTCCCCGCTCGTCAGCGCGTCGGGCAGCTGGACGTAGATGCTCCCGTCGAAGCCGAGCGCGTCCCCGCCGTCGCGGCTCTCCGTCGGGCCGAGGTTCCGCGCCATCCCGTTCTTATAGGTGTCGCCGCTGTATGCTCCGGTCGCATCCGTCGCATTGCCCTCATCGAAGGAGTAGTACGCGCGCAGCGTGCCCTCGAAGTAGTACGTCGACGGGGCGGGAGTCACCGTCGGGGACGCCGTCACCGACCCGTAGAGCACGGAGATGGCCTCCCGGTCCAGGGCGCTCGTGTAGACGTAGAGCTCGTCGATGGCGCCCGTCAGCTTGTTCGACTCGTACACGTCGGCGCCCACTCGAAGCCCGTACATGGTCTCCGTGTCGAGAGACGCCGGGGCGGTCGCCTCGGCGAGGCCGTCGAAGTAGAGGACGAGGTCCGTGCCGTCGTAGGTCAGGCAGTAGTGGTGCCAGTCGTCCCAGTCGATGTAGGACGTGTTGCCGTAGATCGTCACGACCGTCTGGTACGAACCGGACAGAGCGAGCGTCACGTTGCTTTCAGCGTCTCCAACGGCGAGCCCGAACGACGCTCCGTCGGCCGAGTCGCTCCCGTACTCGAAGAGAAAGCCGCCGTCCCAGTCGTCGATGCGCGCCCAGAGGCAGATCGTCCGCTCCTCGTCCCCGGTCAGCGCCTCATACGTCAGAGCTTCGGGCAAGACTACGTAGACTTCGCCGTCGAAGCCGAGCGCGTCCCCGCCGTCGCGGCTCTCCGTCGGGCCGAGGTTCCGCGCCATCCCGTTCTTGTAGGTGTCGCCGCTGTATGCTCCGGTCGCATCCGTCGCATTGCCCTCATCGAAGGAGTAGTACGCGCGCAGCGTGCCCTCGAAGTAGTACGTCGACGGGGCAGCCGTCAGGGCGTCGCATTCCGCCGCGGCCTCCGGCGAGTCAGTGCCGTCGGGGCAGGGCTCGCAAATCTCCGCCCCCGTGCCGGCTGCGAAGCGGCCCGCCGGGCACGCGGAACAGCCGATGGACGCGTCGAGGCTCGAGTACCGACCCGCGGTGCAGTTTTCGCATTTCGAGCTTCCGGCGGCCGCGGAGTAGCGCCCGGCCGCGCAGCTTTCGCACGACGTCGCGCCCGGCGACGACGACACGTAGCCCGCAAAGCAGAGCGAGGCGCTCCGCGCGCCGGCGCTCGGCACGTAGGACCCCGGCGGCGCGAGGGCGCAGGCGACGGCCGAAGCGTTCGGCTGGAACGACCCCGCGGCGCAGTCGTCGCAGGCGGTCGCCTTCGCGCGGACGCTGTAGGTGCCCCGGAAGCACGGCACGCACACGCCGACGTAGACAAAGTGGCCCGAGTCGCAGCTCGTGCCGTTCGTGGCGCCGCTCGACCCACCGCACTGCACGGAGGTCGTCGGCGCGCTTGGGGACGGCGTCGACGACGGCACGCTCGTCGGCGCGCTGCTCGGGCTCGAGGTCGTCGGGACGCGCGTCGAAGTGGGCTCCACGGACGGCTGGAATGTGGGCTCGCGACTCGGCTCCGAGGTCGGGGCTGCCGTCGGCGCGGGCGTGAACGAGACCTCGAACTCCGCCGAGTCCGCGAGCGTCGCGTCGTCCGAGCACGCCAGCGTCAGGGTGTAGGTGCTGACCTCCGCGTCGCCGGCGACGGTCTGCGTCTGCTGGCCGTCGTTGGTCGCGGTCTCCGCGCGGACGACGGTCCCGTCCGAGTCCGAGACCTCGACGTCCACGGTCGCGCAGGCGCCGGGGTCGCCGCGGTAGACCCAGAGGAGGTCGCACTCGACGCCGGAGACGCAGGTCGCCCCGATGCCGATGCTCGTGATCCGCAGGAAGGAGGCCGTCGGGGTCGAGGAGGGCGGCGACGCGCTCGGGGTCGAGGAAGGGGCCGCGCTGGGGGTCGAGCTGCTGGGGTTCGAGGACGGACTCGGGGACGGCGCCGAGAAGGGCGCCGCGCTCGGCGCCGACGAAGGGGCCGGGCTGGGGCTCGAGGACGGACTCGAGGACGGCGCTGAGGAGGGCGCCGCGCTCGGACCCGACGATGGGGCCGCGCTGGGGCTCGAGGACGGACTCGAGGACGGCGCTGAGGAAGGAGAAGGCGAGACGGGCGTCGGCGTAAGCGTGCCGCAGTCGTTCTCGTACCACGCGACCGTGTCGTCCTCGGCGGACGCCGACAGCGCGTCGACGTCCCCGTCGCCGTCGACGTCGATCGCGAAGACGGAGGTGGCAGTGGCTGCCGCTGTGTGAATGATGCGCTCCGTGAAGGACTGGGAGCCGTCATTCTCGTACCACGCGACCGTGTCGTCGGCGTGGGACGCCGAGAGGACGTCGACGTCGCCGTCACCGTCAATGTCGATCGCATACAAGCATAGAGCTCCATCTGCCAGCGTGCTCAGGAGGTGCTGCGTGAAGGACTGGTCCCCGTCATTTTCGTACCATGCGATTGTGTCGTCGTCACGTGATGCAGATAGCGCGTCGACGTCCCCGTCGCTGTCGATGTCGATGGCGTAGATAGAGCGACCGTCCACTGAGTCGGAGATGGTGCGCTCCGTGAAGGACTGGGACCCGTCGTTCTCGTGCCAAGCTACCGTGTCGTCGTCATAGGACGCCGAGAGCACGTCGATATCCCCGTCGCCGTCGATGTCGATCGCATAGATGGAGCGGGCGCTATCAGCCAGCGCCTTTATGATGCGCTCGGTGAAGGACTGGGACCCATCGTTCTCGTACCAGGCGACCGTGTCGTCTTCGGCGGACGCCGATAGGACGTCGACGTCGCCGTCGCCGTCCATGTCGATCGCAAAAATTGAATAGCTAATCCGATGATTCAAGGTCTGGACGACAGTCCGTTCGGTGAAGGACTCGGAGCCGTCATTGTCATACCATAAGACGCCGCCTATCCAATCCCCTGAAGATGAACCGATTGTCGTAGCTAGCACGTCCATGTCGCCATCGCCGTCCAAGTCGATCGCGAAGACGACGACGGCCTGATAGATTTCGCTGCTGGCATCAGCCCTCAGTATGACACGCCCCGTGAAGGACTGGGAGCTGTCGTTCTCGTACCAGGTGACTATTTCCTGCCCGTCGATACCTTGCACATTCATATTTGCGGAGAGCACGTCGACGTCCGCATCGCCGTCTATATCAATCGCGTAGATTGCCTTGGCATCATCGGCCAGCGTCGTGATGACGCGCTCGGCGAACGCGACGCTGGCGCAGCGCGCGGTGGGCCGCGGCGTCGGTGGCTCCGGCGTCGGCCGTGGCGTGGGAACGCCGGTCGGACCCACGGACGGGCTCCGCGAGGGCGCGATCGTCGGCGCGGGCGTGAACGAGACCTCGAACTCCGCCGAGTCCGCGAGCGTCGCGTCGTCCGAGCACGCCAGCGTCAGGGTGTAGGTGCTGACCTCCGCGTCGCCGGCGACGGTCTGCGTCTGCTGGCCGTCGTTGGTCGCGGTCTCCGCGCGGACGACGGTCCCGTCCGAGTCCGAGACCTCGACGTCCACGGTCGCGCAGGCGCCGGGGTCGCCGCGGTAGACCCAGAGGAGGTCGCACTCGACGCCGGAGACGCAGGTCGCCCCGATGCCGATGCTCGTGATCCGCAGGAAGGAGGCCGTCGGGGTCGAGGAGGGCGACGCGCTGGTTCCCGACGAAGGGGCCGCGCTGGGGGTCGCGCTGGGGCTGCCGCATTCGTTCTCGTACCACGCGACCGTGTCGTCGCTGGTGGACGCCGACAGCGCGTCGACGTCGCCGTCGCCGTCGACGTCGATGGCGAAGACGGAGGTGGCGCCGTCCGCCGCGTTCGTGATGACGCGCTCGGTAAAGGACAGGGAGCCGTCGTTCTCGTACCAGGCGACCGTGTCGTCGAGGTAGGACGCCGAGAGCACATCGACGTCGCCGTCGCCGTCGACGTCGATCGCGAAGACGGAGTAGGCGTAGTCCGCCGAGTTCGTGATGATGCGCTCCGTGAAGGACTCGGCCCCGTCGTTCTCGTACCACGCGACCGTGTCGTCACTCCTGGACACCGAGAGCGCGTCGACGTCGCCGTCGCCGTCGACGTCGATCGCGAAGACGGAGAAGGCGTTGTCCGCCGAGTTCGTGATGACGCACTCCGTGAAGGACTGGGAGCCGTCGTTCTCGTACCACGCGACGGTGTCGTCGCCGCCGGCCGCCGACAGCGCGTCGACGTTGCCGTCGCCGTCGACGTCGATGGCGAAGACGGAGACGGCGGCGTCCGCCGAGTTCGAAATGATGCGCTCCGTGAAGGACTGGGAGCCGTCGTTCTCGTACCAGGCGACCGTGTCGTCGTAAGCGGACGCCGAGAGCACGTCGACGTCGCCGTCGCCGTCGACGTCGATCGCGAAGACGGAGAAGGCGTTGTCCGCCGAGTTCGTGATGACGCGCTCCGCGAAGGACTGCGAGCCGTCGTTCTCGTACCACGCGACCGTGTCGTCGCTGACGGACGCCGACAGCGCGTCGACGTCGCCGTCGCCGTCGACGTCGATCGCGAAGACGGAGCGGGCGCCGTTCGCGGAGTTCGAAATGATGCGCTCCGTGAAGGACTGGGAGCCGTCGTTCTCGTACCAGGCGACCGTGTCGTCGCCGGCGGACGCCGACAGCGCGTCGACGTCGCCGTCGCCGTCGACGTCGATGGCGAAGACGGAGTAGGCGCCGTCCGCCGAGTTCGTGACCTGGCGCTCGGAGAACGCGACGCTCGCGCAGGAGGCGCCCACCGAGTCGACGGCCCAGCACGCCAGCACGAACAAGCAGCCTTTCGCCGCGCCGATCACCCGCCCTCCGCGGCGCGGCGCGCGGCGGGCCCCGTCGCGGCGGGGCCCGTCGCGCCGCGCGCCGCGCGCCCGGGACGGCCCGGGTCGAAGGCCCCCACCGCCCGGTTGCGCCTGGGGGGAGCTGCGCATGCTTACGGCATTCCAGGGGCAGAGTCCCGCTGCTTGCCTTTTTTTATCCCGGCAACGTAACAACGCGAAAAGATCCATGCCCCCCGTCCGCCCGCTGTTGTTGCCTTCAGGAACTCGAGCCGTTTCTGTCGCTGCGAACCACTAGCCGGCGGGATTGCGGCCGCCCCCCATGTTGGCGAATGCCGCCAAAGCTGAACCTGATGAACATGACATTGTTGGATGCTACAATAGTAGTGGCTTTGTCGAGCTCCACACCTCTGCGTCCCCGCGCGACGTCCCAGCCTCGTGGTCGCGCGTGCTGCCCGCATACAGCATGAACGTCCTTGTGGCCTTGTGCGTCGCAACCGCAGCGGCAGCGACGACGCCCTTCGAGAGCACCTGCGGCAAGGACTCGAAGGTCGCCGACTGCGACCACCCGGACCTTGGCTCCTGCGGCACGGCGTGCTGCAGCCTCGAAGTGAATCTTACGACGTCCGCGCCCCTCGCGTACGGCGAGATCAAGGCGTTCCTCGAGACCGGCGGGCGGGACGCGTCCTACGCCTACAGCAACTACACCGACGCCGCGGGCCACGACCCGAGCGACGCGCTGTCCGACGGCATCCCCAGCGGCTTCGAATACATCTGGCAGGGCACGCACGCGACGAAGGGCGGCTACGTCGACACGCTCAACTTCTGGGTCAAGCCCATCGATGGCCTAAGCGCGACGCTGGGCCTCTTCTCGATCTCGAACATCCACGGCGCGCTCGGCGACGGCGGCCAGAACTACAAGAGCCTGGTCTACCTCCTGAAGAATTTTGCGACGACGTCGGGCTACTCGGACCCGACGATCGTCCACGGCTGCGCCATGCCCGGCGCCTAGAAAATAAAAACGGTTACCACCAGAAGCCGAGGGCGTCGTCGCCGCCGTCGTCGTTGTACTCCGCCGCGAAGTGGCGGCAGCGGCGGGACTCGTTCCAGGAGAGCGCGAACTTGAGCGCGTAGCGAAGCAGGAGGAGGCCCATGACGGCCCGCAGCAGCCAGAGGAGCATGCCGAAGGGCCGCTGCTTGGGGATCGTGTGGACGACGGACGCTAACACGAGCGCCGCGAAGCAGAGCACGCTCTGGAGGCCGCTGTCGTAGATGTCGTAGTACGCGAAGACGTGGTGCTGGTTCCGGCACTGCGTGAGGTGGATGGCGAAGACGATGTCCATCAGGGAGAAGGAGAAGGTGCAGACGACGACGAGGACGAAGGCGAGCTGGTTGAGGGACACGCCGGAGCTGTCGCCCTCGTGCGCCGCGGCGCGGTCGCCGAGCGACTCGCGGAGGTGCGTCTTCGCGTTGATGGCCCGCACGAAGGCGAGACCGTGGAGCTCGATGCGCCACATGAAGAGCTCGAGCGTCGACGACGCCAGGAACATGAAGGAGCCCACGAAGTAGGGCAGCTGCACCAAGGTCCGCGCGTCGCTCCCCGCGGCCCGCGCCGCGCCCGGCGCGATGAAGACGCCGCCCACGAGGAAGAGCAACGACCCGACGAAATTCAGGTTCGCGACCCACCACACCAATTCCTCGGCCGCCCGCCCGAGGCGCCAGGACTCGTTGTGGTCCACCGCGAGCGCCGCGCCGACGCAGAAGAGCACGCCGCCGCCGAACGCCGACGCAAAGTAGACCCACGCGCAGGCCGTCGCGGCGTCGCCCGACGGCACGACGCCGTTCTCCACGAGGAGCTGGACGCCGATGCCGAGCTGGAACCAGACGGCGCCCACGGAGTAGGCCATGTAGCCCCAGTGCGAGTGCCAGATGCGGTCGTCGATGTCGAGCGCCCACGCGCCGCCGACGCGCGACGGCCAGACGAAGTTCCGGAGCTGGTCGCGCTGGTCCTCGCCCCGCCCGAGGTTGATGGCCTCGTAGTAGCCCAAATAGCCACCGACGATGAAGAAGAGGCCGCCGACGAAGTACGGCCAGAGCACCGTCGCCGACTTCCGGATTCGCAGCCGGTCCTCGGGGATGGGCGCCTTGGGCATGAGGTAGTCGAAGCCCGCGCCGAAGGTGAAGAGCGAGCTCCCGATGATGAACGTGCAGGCGACCCAGTAGGCCATCGTGTAGCGCCACCAGTACCGCGTCGTGCCCCGCTGCGCCTCGGGCTCGAGCACGACGGGGAACAGCAGCGTCCCGCGGCTCCCGGCCTCGCGGCTCGCGGCGGCGAGGCGCCGCACCTCCTCGTGGCAGCCCGCGGCGCCGCTCGACGTCGTCACGGCCCCCGACGCGAGGCCGAGGCGCCACGACCGGTAGCCGTCGCGGTAGTCGTTCTCCGCGAGGCTCACGTCGCCGCCCGCGCGCCGCCGCCGCGCCTCGAGCGCCGCCTGCGCGTCCTCCGTCTTCTTCGGGGAGCTCGGCCGATCCGGCCGCCACTCGGCGATGCGCCGGATCTCGCCGCTCGTGATGCGCGGCAGGGCCGACGCCGGCAGCAGCGGGTTCGTGCTCGCGTTATTTTCGCCGTTTAAGGACGTCTCTCCCAGGTTTAAGGTCATGTAGTCCGTGCCGCGCTCCGGCGGCATCGTGTCTATGCGCTAGAGCGGCGCCGAATCAGTGCGCACTTCGTCGTCTTTTGGTCCCCGCGTGCGTGTCACTGCGCCCGACAGCTCGCTCCGCCGACTGATTGCAGTGCCTCCATTTCCTTGTGGCAAAGAGCGAGGACCAAGGTGCCGCTGCGGTGCACCTGATCGAGCGTCCAAACGGGACGGGCGCGGGCATCGAATTAATCTGGTGGTGCTTGTTCCGCTCTCCTGCGACGAGGTGTGCTTCACCCCATCACCCGGAGACGCCAGGCCTACGAGACGCGGCTAACAAAACACACACAGAGACGACGAACCCGCCGCCGCGCGCCGAGAAACCGCCGCGATGGTCGCCCAGCTCCAGGGCGGCGCCGAGGCGCACTGGCAGGTCATGCAGAAGCGGACGTTCACGCGCTACATCAACTCGAAGCTCAAGGCGCGGAACCTCGTCGTCGGCGACCTCTACGAGGACCTCAAGGACGGGCGCGTGCTCTACAACTTCCTGGAGGTGCTCACGGGCGCGTCGCTGAAGAAGTACGGCAAGTTGAACAGCGGGAAGATGCGCATCCAGCACGTCGCGAACATGAACGTCGTCTTCAAGTTCTTCCCCGACGCGGACGTGAAGCTCGAGAACATCGGCGTCATGGACGTCGTCGACGGCACGCCGACGCCGACGCTCGGCCTCATCTGGTCGATCATCGCGTTCTACCTCATCCGGGACCTCGGCGGCGCGGACGACGACCTGGGCGCCGTGAAGAAGAAGGTACTCAAGTGGGCGAAGAAGAAGGCGAAGACGCACGTGGCCGTGTCCGATCTGACGCGGTCCTTCGCGGACGGCAAGGCGTTCCTCGCGATACTCAACGACACGGACGCGGCGGGGTCGCCCTACGACCCCGCGGACGACGCCCGCGCCAACTTCCGCCGGGCCTTCGGGGACGCCGAGGACAAGTACGGCCTGCCGCAGATGCTCGACCCGGACGACGCGAGCCTCTGGGAGGACGAGATCTCGATGCTTACCTATTTGGCGTCGATGATGGACGCGCTCCCGGACAGCGTGGCCCAGCCGGACCCGAACGACGTCCTGGACGAGTGGGTCGAGGACCACGCGCCCCAGCTCCGGGATGCGCTCGCGAAGCTCTGCGCCGTGCCGTCGACGGCCGACGACGCGGCCGCGCGCGCCGACGCGTTGGCATTAGTGGCCAAGGAGGCCGCGGCCGCGGGCCTCGGCGCGCCCGCGGTCGTCGCCGACGACCTCGTCGTCTTCGCGGGCCCCGAGTCCCCGGGCGCGCCGACGGTGCTCATCTACGCGTCGGTGAACGTCGCGGCGCCCGACGCCGCGGCGTGGGCCGCGGCCGACCGTAAGCCGTTCGCGCCGACGACGGCGGACGGCCGCGTGGGCGCCGCGGGCGCCAAGGACGCCAAGGCCGGCGCGCTCGCGCCTTTGTACGCGTGCCGCGCCCTCGAGGCCGTCGTCGGCAGTGGCCCGCGGCTGTTGAACTTCAAGGTCGCGGTCTCGGGCGCCGCGCCCGGCGACGCCGCCGCGGTCCTCGCGCCCCACGCGGCGGCGCTCGCCGCGGACTACGTCCTCGTCTCCGACGGCGGTGGCATGGGCGCCTATGGCGCCGCGAAGCCCGGCGCGCCAGCCCTGCTCTTCGGCTGCCGGGGCTACGTCGACGTGACGTTACGGTGCGCGCTCCGCGCGGCGCCCGGCGCGGCCGCGGCGCCCTGCGCCACCGCCGTCGGCCCCGTCGTCGACCCGGCGACGGCGCTGGCCGCGGGCCTCGCGGGCCTCCGCGACGGCGCGGGCGCGCTCAAAGCGGGCCCGACGTGCTTCGGGCTCCCCGCCTTACCGCTGGCCGCCGTCGACGTCACGGAGCAGCCCGAGGACGTCGACGCGCTGCTCGCGGAGCTCGCGTCGGCCCACGGCTACGCGGCGGCGCCCCTGCCCGAGTTCAAGGCCCGGGCGACGTCGACCTACGCCGCGTGCCCGCGCGCGGCGCTCGCGCTCGACCCGGGCTACGTCGTGAGCCGCCTCTGGACGGAGCACCTGGCGCCGCCGCGGGGCCGCGGCGGTTTCGCGCCGCCGTGCCTGCCCGAGGCGGCCTGCGCCGTCGTCCGCGTGCTCCTGCCGCCGGGCTTCCGCGACCTGCGGGGCGCGGCGGACGCGCTCGTGGCGGCCGTCGCCGGCGCGGAGCTCGCGGGCGAGCCCGCGGGCGCGGCGGGCTACCTGAGCGACCCGCGGCAGCCCTTCGCGCTCGCCGTCCACGAGGCGCTCGACGCGGCCTACGGCGCGAAGTGCTCCACGGCGGCGCCCGTCTTCGTGCCCGCGGCCGCCGCGCTCGCGGGCCTCCTCCCGGACGCGGCGGTCTTCGTCGTCGGCAAGGCCCCCGTCCACGCGGACCGCGTCGGCGCGCCCGGCGAGTCCGTCGCCCTCGCGGACCTGCTGAGCGAGACGAAGGCGCTCTGCCGCCTCCTCCACGCGACGGCCGCGGGCGTGCCCGTGCAGGCGCCCAAGATCAAGCCCTACGGCGACCTCCCCGTCGCGGCGCCGCGCGCGGCCGTCGCGGCGCCGGTCGCGCCGCCGCCGGCCGTCGCGGCGCCGGTCGCGCCGCCGCCGGCCGCGCCGCCGCCGCCGCCGCCGCCGGTCGCGGCGCCCGAGCCCGAGCCGGAGCCGGTGGCCGCGCCGGAGCCGGTGGCCGCGCCGCCGCCGCCGCCGGTGGCCGAGCCGGAGCCGGAGCCGGAGCCGGAGCCCGTCGCCGAGCCGGAGCCCGTCGCCGAGCCCGAGCCCGTCGCCGAGCCGGAGCCCGAGCCCGTCGCCGAGCCCGAGCCCGAGGCGCCGCCGCCGCCGCCGCCCGCGGCCGCCGCGGCGCCCGCCGCGGCCGCGGCCGAGCCCGAGGCCGCCCCCCCGCTGACGGCCGCGGCGCTCGTCTCGGAGCTCAACAAGCTCCGCGCGGACCCGGCCGCGTACGCCGGCGTCCTCGAGGGCACGCTCGAGCTCTTCAAGGACGACAAGTCGTTCTGGCCCCGCGAGCCCGGCGCCCAGCC